CTCCCCTCTCCCTCTCCCTCTCCCTCTCCCTCTCCCTCTCCCTCTCCCTCTCCCTCTCCCTCTCCCTCTCCCTCTCCTCTCCCTCTCCCTCTCCCTCTCCCTCTCCCTCTCCCTCTCCCTCCCTCTCCCTCTCCCTCTCCCTCTCCCTCTCCCTCTCCCTCTCCCTCTCCCTCTCCCTCTCCCTCTCCCTCTCCCTCTCCCTCTCCCTCTCCCTCTCCCTCTCCCTCTCCCTCTCCCTCTCCCTCTCCTCTCCCTCTCCCTCTCCCTCTCCCTCTCCCTCTCCCTCTCCCTCTCCCTCTCCCTCTCCCTCTCCCTCTCCCTCTCCCTCTCCCTCTCCCTCTCCTCTCCCTCTCCCTCTCCCTCTCCCTCTCCCTCTCCCTCTCCCTCTCCCTCTCCTCTCCCTCTCCCTCCCTCTCCCTCTCCCTCTCCCTCTCCCTCTCCCTCTCCCTCTCCCTCTCCCTCTCCCTCTCCCTCTCCCTCTCCCTCTCCCTCTCCCTCTCCCTCTCCTCTCCTCTCCCTCTCCCTCTCCCTCTCCCTCTCCCTCTCCCTCTCCCTCTCCCTCTCCCTCTCCCTCTCCTCCTGCCCCCCCGCCCCTCCCCCCCCTCCCCCCCCCTCTCCCCCTCCGCCCCCCTTCTCTCTTTCGCCCCCCCTTTCTTTAAAAGCCGAATTAGCGAGGGATGCCTAATCTTTTTACCAATGAGGCGGCCATAAATAAAAGAAAGGACAACAATTTGCTTTGCAATTACTATAAAATAATCCTTGAAAATTTTTCAAAACACCATCATATCTGAATGAAGCGTGTATTATATTATTTTATTATTTTACTAAAAACATATATATGTTTTCCAGTCTCTTTACACTTTCGCAAAAGTTGTAAACACAATTCATTCAGTATTTAGACGTTAGTTAATCTGTACACACTAGAATGTAACCAAAAATTATCAAAAATAATTAGTTTAAATGTTCAGGTATTAATAGCTTGGTTTATCACAGTGTAATATAGTGTAATGTAGTGTATTTTTGTATAATTAATTTACTGTAAGTATTTATATATAAGTTTTATAACTCTATATTATTTTCCTCCTACATCATATTTCAAATCATTTTAGTCTGTCTGAAATTTTAATATTATGTTCGTTAAGGGTAAAAGAACATAAAATTAATTTGCCAGACGTTTCTGTTGTTGTTAAGCATGTCTGGTAATGAAAAAAGTTTGGCAATATGATACTAGTAGAGAGAGTGGGACAATCACCAAATACATTGGCGCGAATGAAACAAAAAACTATTATACTCGTAAGAGCACATTACGTGTACTAGCCAAAAAACCATAAAAAATCAAGTAACTTTGTTAGACAGATGTGTTTATTATAACTTCTCTGCAAAATTGTGTCTATACCATTTTTCATAACCACGTCGGGCAAATTAATTTTATATTTTTTTACCCTTAACGAACATAATATTAAAATTTCAGATAGACTAAAATGATTTGAAATTTAAAAAAAAAATGGCGTCTGGCACATATTTGGCAGTGCCCAAAATGTCTGGCAACAAAAAATGTGTGTCTAGTGAACCTATTCGAAATCCAATTAATGAAAATTGGACTAGCTAAAATGCTATTAAATAGTATCATATTGCCAGACATTTTCTATTGCCACACATGTTTAACAAAGGCAGAAACGTCTGGCAAATTTATTTTATGTGTTTTTAACCTTAACGAACATAATATTAAAATTTCAGACAGACTAAAATGATTTGAAATTAAAATAAAAAAAAAAAATTGGCGTCTGGCACATATTTGGCAGCGCCCAAAATATCTGGCAATAAAAAATGTGAGTCTAGTTGGACTCACTGAAATGGTTTCAGAATTTCCAAATCGAACTGTACAAGTTGGCTGCGCACTAATAAACGCAACCACTCCCAGCTGCCAGACAGCCAATACCCTAATCGAGAGAAACCCAAGGACCACATAATAAAAAATCAGCCTGACTAAAATGCTTTCTCGAAAACGTTGCTAGCTTTCGGACTAAAAGATGTGTATTTATTATATTTAGTTTAACGTTACTACTATCTGTTCAGCAATTTACCTATTCAACAATTTGTCTACGAATTTACATATAAACTTGTTAATCAATCTACCATTTTACCGACTTACCAATTTACCTGTAAACGCGTTTTACATGTCTATCAATTTATCTGTCAACCTGTTTACTTGTCTTGTTATTGGTCCATCTACCAGTTGTCCTATCTACCATTTTACATATCCTCCAATTTACCTGACCAACAAATTACCTTTTCACCAACTTACTTGTCTACCAATTCACCTGTCTATCAATTTAACTGTCTACCAATTTACCTATCGACCTCTTTATCAATACACCATTTCACCTGTCAACCAATTTACCTGTTTTTCAATTTACCTGTCACCCCGTTCTAAATGTCTACCAATTAACCTGTTCAATAATTTACCTATTGAACAATTAACCAGTTTAACAATTTGTCTACCAATTAACCTGTCAAGCTGTTTATTTGTTTACATATTCGTCTATCTACCAGTTCTTCTCTCTACCATTTTACATATCCTCTAATTTACCTGTCCACCAGTTTTCCTTTATAAATTTTCTATTTCACCTTATTTATCTACGCATTATAAAAAAATTAAAGCTAAAATTGATTCTAGGTTTTAGTTAGAAAACGTTTGTATGTGCGAAAGAAAAGGGATTTTTTTGGGGGTTTTCCGGCAATTATTCGATTTTTTCTCGCCGTAAGAACCATCCATGGACTTCAACGAACATTTTAAAAAAAGAATTGGCCAAATTGGTCCAGGCGTTGTTGAGTTATGGGCTTATCAACACATTTTGCTATTCATTTTTATATATAAGAAGATATATATATATATATATATATATATATATAATATATTTATTTATATATATATATATATATATATATATATATATATATATTATATTTATATCTATATTATATATATCTAATATATATAATATATTTATATATAGATCTATATATATCTATCTATCTCATCTATATATATATAATATATAAATTTGTATATCTTCAGAATATACATTTTAACGAAAATAATGAAAAGAACAAAATTATATAATTAAAATCTTAATAATCGCTGTTTTAAAGTGTTCTAGGAACAATATTAAGCTAGATATGAAGATGGGGTTTTATAGTTCTCAAAATAAGTTTTAAATGAGTACTTCTGAAATTGAGTGAGTTATCATGCAAATAAAATACGCATCCAATGTTTTTTTTTATTTAAATCAAATAGTTTATGAGTGCCATTTCCACCCAAATTAAAAATAATCGAATTCAATCTAGAATTAACTTGGTTTAAGAGATCTTGATGGATTCTAGAAAATACCACAACTTTAGTACAAACGATTTTAAAAAAACTCATGATTTCATGAAAAAAAAATCTATTAAAAAAAACAACCAATTTTTCATTAATATATCTCTGAAAGAATCAATGATACGTATAAAATTCAAGGGGTTTTTCTGACTAATTATTGCTTTTTATTATTTTTCTGTTACACAAATATTGATAGAGGTATGATTGTTTAAAGAGTGCGCGGCTGTCCATCCAGAGTCTCTTTCGAGCCCTTAAATCCTTTCGTCTATGTTAATTTCCATTCCGTATCTTTTACCCACTTCGACGATTCTGTTCATCATGTTTTGCAGCTCGGCTTGATTTTTCGATATCACTACTAGATCATCAGCGTACTTTATGGTGGTGATTCTTCTTCCTCCAATCGAAAAATCTCCTGCGCCGTCAAGTGCCTCGTTGACGAGCCATTCTCCGTACAGGTTGAATAGAATCGGTGACATACAGCATCCTTGCCGCACTCCTCTACCTATTTCAACGCTGTTTGTATCTCCCTGATTCACTCGAACTTTTACTTTCTGTCCCGTATACAGATTCTGGATCAGCCTGCGATCCCTCCAATCGACGTTAATAGATTTTAAAATTCCCATAAGCATACTCCAGTTGACTCTGTCAAAAGCTTTCTGCCAATCTATAAAACAGTAAAGCATATGTCCTCGTTAACGTCGAGACATCTGTCCGACATTATCCTCAGTTATTCCAATAGCGTCCCTGGTGCCTCTTCCTTTTCTGAAACCAAACTGGTCTTCGCTCATGTGCTGCTCAATCTTATTTTCGAGTCGTCTCGTAAGGATTTTGGCCAGACCTTTCCGGTGTGCGAAGTTAAACTGATCGTCCTGTGGTCGCTGCATTTATTCGCTTTGGGCTTTTTCTGGAGAGCTATCATCGTGACATCCAAAAAGTTTTTCGGCCATTCACCCGTTCGATATATTTGATTCGACAAGTTGGTTAGTTTCCTTAATCCGTTGTTGCGCAGCTCTTTCAGTAGGTCCGCCGGTATGTCGTCATCTCCCTTTTTCTTTCTTCTCATCTCATTTATTGCTCTCTCGACTTCGCTTTTTAATATGCACGTCCCTTGTCGTCTTCGTCCACTTCTTTCTCTTCTTCTCTCGATATCGATAGGACGACGTTTTCTCTATCGTAAATTCTTTTCCATCTCTTTTTCTCTCTTCTTTCTTTTTCTTTCTCTCATTATTTTTCTATTTCTTTCTCTATGTACATTTCTCTGTTTTTCCCATCCTGAAATTTCTTGTGGTCACTCACTCTATTCCATCCTCTTCTATTTCGTATGTTTTTCTGCTTTTTCTTTCATTCCGTTCATTTCCCTTGTAGCCTGAAACATTAAATCATACCTGCCTTGTTTTTGATGTTCCATTATCTTGTTGCACGCTTCGCCCATATATTTCACCTTTGCCTTCTCGTTTCTCGCCTTAATTCATTATTCAATTTTCTATACATCGTCGGACCTGTATTCTTATACTTTCTGCGATCATCCATTTTCTTGATCATCTCCTGGTTAATCCATGGTTTTCTAGCTACTTTTTTTCCTTTCCGATGTTGTCCTCTAGTGTTTCCAGAAGTACATTTTTTATCTCATCCAATCTTTTTCTACTGCCTCTTCTCTATCTTTTATTACACTGAACTTCGACTCCATTTCTTTCCTCACTACGATTTTATTATTTCTCATGTTTTCCAGATTCCATCTCTGTCTCTTTTTGCCCGTTTTGCGGATGTTCTTCGGCTTTGTCTCTATATCGGCCGTCAGCAAATTATGATCGGAGTCTACATCGGCCCCTGGATAGGTCTTAACGTCTTTCACGCTATTTCTGAATCTATTCTTGACGATGATGTAGTCAATTTGATGTCGTTCGCTGTCTCCCGGCTTTTCCAAGTATATAACTTTGTCTTCCGCTTTTTGAACCACGTGTTTGCGATCATCAGATTGTTTCTGGCGGCAAAAGTCGATCAGCATATTTCCTCTGTCGTTCCTTCTGCCCAATCCGTATTTTCCGACTATCTCTTCCTCTGATCCATTTCCGACTACTGCATTAAAATCTCCCATGATCACCACGTTGACCTTTCCTTTTCCTTCCTGAGACAGCATCTCGTCTGCTCGTAGATTTGTTCTACGTCCGCCTCGTCGTGGCGCGATGTCGGCATGTACACCTGCACCACCATCACGTCCACCGGCTCCGCTTTCATTTTCACACTCATCAAACGATCACTCACGCAGTTCACATTCAGCACACTCCTCACCGACTTGTTTCTCACCATGACTGCCACTCCTCTTTCAGATTTGTCTCCTCCGGAGTAATACATTGTAAAACCGTCCGATTCGGTTTTACCTTGCCCCTGCCATCTTACCTCGCTCAATCCCACGACGTCCACTTTGCACTTGTCCATTTCCCTCTTGAGGTTTTCCAGTTTTCCTGCTCTCATCATTGTCCTGACGTTCCAGGTTGCTAACCTGAAAGGCAAATCGACCGCAGTTTTGTTGCTACTTTCGATGGCTTCCCCCTCATAGCCTCCACCCGGAGATCCGAACGGGAGGTCATTACTCCGGAATATTTTACAGAAGAGGAAGTCATCATTGGAACCATTTTCTCGTAGAATGCTCTCACACCTACTCTGGGAAGAATGTAATGTGGTAGTATTCCCCTTTTCCTTTCCACATCGCAGCGAGCGGACCAGCTGTACCCGTCATTCGGATCGCGCTCCGGACTTTTTGATCTGGAGCCATCTCGAGAATCATTTGCTCTGTGCCTCCAGTCAATACTGGTGTCGCTGCTGCCCGACACCAGCTAACTCGGTTAGCCGATTTCGCTGTTTCCAGCTATTCGTTGCCCACACGACGAGGACGTCGAGTCAGTTCGGGTAGTTTCGGAGAAAATATATATATATATATATATATATATATATATATATATTTAGTGATGGGCGTGGAATCAACGAACGGTTATTTTCAACCGTTTCTTCTTCGTTAACTAACTAACCGTTTCGTCGCAACGAAATAACTGGTTGAAAATCAACTAGTTTCGAAACAGTTGAAAACATGGCGGCCAGTTACTTATTCAACGATATAGGAGTTTGTTCGTTTTCGAAAACGAACGTTAGCAGGTACCTGGTGTTGGAAAGGATCAACTAATACTATGAAAATCGCTTATTGTTAGACTACTGCTTTTATAATATTGCAGATGTTCGTGCACATATTATAGAAACTTGCAACACGCGCCAAATCGTTTAATTTTAGAAAATCAGTTACATTTTTTATAGTTTTCAATGTTTAATATTTTTTCATAAAATTCTCATAGCATTTGTCTTGTAATAATTTTTTTAAACTAAACCTGAAAATTGATTTTTTATTTTTTATACATTTTTATGTAACTATATATTTTTATATTGCTATTTTTATATAACACGTAAA